GTGTCCTCGTATATATATTATACCAACTGTGTTGTGTGGCACAGTTGAACCTGACTACATAATCACTACTGCAGCACGAGACCATTGAGCACATGCTGGAGAGAGGACAGAAGTTGGACGAGCTCGTGGACAAGACTGACAAACTCAGCGGAACTTCAAAGGCTTTCTACAAAGAGGTATGCACTGTTTTGTTATGCCATTAGGTTACTCCCCTGCCTTTTTCTCTCTCACTCCAGGCTAGAGGTGGAACTTGCTGTGTTATACAATGACCTATTTATTCAGAGATCATTTGTACATTGTTTTTATGTAAGTAATGCCTATTGCGACACATTGAAAAGCGCATTAGATTAGATGGGCGTGGTCTATCTATGATACGCCGTTCGTTTGCGACGTCTGGCAGCTGAGGAGGCCTCTGCGACTTTGAAGTCTTCAGGAGCTTCACAACAGTGCCTGCTTCTGTACATCTGCCGGCTCCTTTACCGAACTGCAGTGGTACGTGTGACTGTGTTTCGTACGCGGCTACGTCGGCGTTTTGTGTCAAAAGGCTCCGAGTCTTCGGCGTTGTTTGCTGCGTTTCTGGGGGCCAGTGCTCTGGGCCTGATGGCCCCGGGGCTTACTTGCCACTCTCTTCTTTACGTAGCTTGCTGCAGCAAATAATGAACCAGCGAGGATGTAGCTGTTTGTTTATAGCCCCCATCTATCTGGGCATGCGTTGATAAAGACCACCGAGCAATTGTATGGCCGTTGTGTGCGTCCGTGTTACAGTACATTGACAAACGTGTCTGGCTAGGCCTGAGGGATTGTTCACCATTTCTAGCCTCCATCTCCCACCTATGTTCTCTCATGTTAGGCAATGGTGTGTGGGACTACATGGAATCCATTACAGTATACTCTCTTTCCTCGAATATTTCTCTCTCCCCCTCTCTCATAGACAAACATGCCAAAGAAGTACACGAAGGCGGATGTTGAGAACTGGTCTGTGGAGGAAGTGAAGAGCTGGCTTCACTCGGTGAGTCAGTCTCTTATCATACCACCATATCATGCGACTCATTGTTGCCCAGAAAAAGCTGACACAATGTCTACCAGATTTCGACTGTGTCAGTGGGTACCAGCTACTGGTGAGTTCCCTGCCTCCTTGTGACTCCAGTACCACATATCAACTCTAACATGCCACAGGGTATGACTAATGATGACCTAAAGGCTCTACCGAGTGTGGCAGGAAGCGAGAAGAAAAGGAAGTGAGTCACTTCTTGTCCATTACACCCTGTCATGTACGTGCTAATGGCGGAAGACACGGGTATTGTGTGTATGTTGCACTGAAAGAGTTGGTTTTTGCTAGAACAACATTTCCTGCAGTTGAGACATGTCTCTCTGTACACAAACAGGGCCTTGAAGAAAGCTGTGGGTCAGTTGCCTGGCAACTCCATCTCTGCCAAGACTGTAAAGTCCAAAGGGTGAGTTTCGTTCCCCTCCTCTCTCTGTCTCCATCACTGGGTGAGGAGACGTGGTTGTCTCTCCCCCTCCTCCTCCTCTCTCTGTCTCCATCACTGGGTGAGGAGACGTGGTTGTCTCTCCCCCTCCTCCTCCTCTCTGTGTGTCTCCATCACTGGGTGAGGAGACATGGTTGTTTCTTCTGTGCAGCAAACCAGCAAAAGATCCACCTCCAGTAGAGAACTTCCCCCCAGCTTCCTTTGAGCCGGTCCCAGCTCCCCCTCCCCTCCCTCCCCCCTCCTCTTTCCACCATCCTCCCCACTCTCCTAACTCAGCCACATACAGCGACCCATCTCTCATCTGGGGCGACGAGGACCAGCCACAGGATATCTATGGTCTGTTCGTCTAAAGCGTGCTGGTGTAAAGTTTCATACTGCTGCCTCTGTGGGCGTATGAGTGTGAGTGTCGGTGGATTAGAAAGTGAATGAAGTTCAGTCTATTGAGTGGCCCTAACAGGAATGTAAACAGTCTGTGAAGATATGTTCTCGTTGCAGTATTCACAGCCTTAGTCAATACTGTGACATGCTGTAAACTATGAGACCTTAGTGAAATAACAGCACATTTTTCGACACTAATTTGTGGCGGTGTTAATAGTTCTACTTCATGTCTTGACTGACATTTGTGGTGGTGTCAATAGTTCACTCATAAATAGTACTTCATGTCTTGACATACCTGTACAGTGGGAAAACAGTAGGTGAGACAATCTGTATAGCTATCCCACGAAATTCTGGTTGTTGAGTTAATTCTCCCCGAGATATGCTAATGTGATATATTCCAGACTTTCTTATGTTGTAGACAACGCAGCAGATGCCAGAGAGGAGATGCTGGCACCTCCTCTGCCTCCTCACCCCGGCTACCATCAGCAGCAGGTAGGGGGAGGACAAGATGGCGGCTACGGACAAGATGATGATCAGGTATGTCAATGCAGCACTCATGATATAATTATTACAGGGACTTTTCTCAAGGTTTTTGTTTTCACATATTTTGCGATTCTTATGCATTTGCAATCAAGGTATATAGAGGTTATTCACTGAGGAAATTACAGTGGTAAATTGATTCATATGACCTCTGTCTGCCTCTCTCTGCCCCTCTCTGCCTCTTTCTCTCTCTATTCAGATGATCTATGACCAGTATGAGGAGGGAGAGGAAGAAGAGATGTTTGACTCTTCATTTGCCAGTAAGTGTGTGCCTGTTGGCCATGGGTCCATGTGGAACTGGTTTTATCACTGAAGGTGAGGAGGAGGAGGAGGAGGAAGAAGAAGAGCCGTCTGCTCTCAATGGGTTGAGAAACGCTAACCAAGGAACTGAGGTATGCGTGGGCCGTGGCAGGGAGAGTGATCATGTAATGGCAGATGATAGGCTTCCACTTTGAGTTAGCCATTGAAAGTTGTTGCAACAGCAAAAACCAATGTAACAGTACCTTTATTGCTGTTCAATGACACAGTGCTGTTTGTGTGTTGGCTGCAGGCAAACATCCGAGCCATCCGGGCCAAGTTCTTCGCAGAGGGTCTGAGGGCGCACACGGGGAATACTGACTGGCTCCATTCCTCTCTCCGGACACCAGGTCCCCGTCCCCGACCCGGCAGAGGTGAGCAGCTGTTACTGCTGCATTCCTGGCATCTCTGCCATGCCCCCTGCTAACTGGACTGGAACCCCATGACATTTTTGGCACGACCAGTGACTATTTATTTATGAGAACAATGCAGTATTACAGTAGTGTACTCTCTCTCCTTTGTCTGTGTCCTGCAGGAGGAGGGAAGTGATGACGATATTTATGATCTTCCTCCTGGTGAGAACGAGTCCTCCTGTTGATGGACTTAGTCCTCTCCTCTCTCTCTCTCTCTCTCTGTCCTCCCACAGAAGAACTGAAGCAGCACCCGCCCCATCACCCAGTAGTCCAACCTCCTGACCTACCTCCTCCTCCTCACCACCAGGACGAGGAAGAAGACGAGGGTGAGGATATCTACGATGTGGCTGAGGAAGTTCTTAAGTCCACAGGTGATACGAGTCTCGTTAGATCCAGTGGGTGTGGTCATTACATGAGCTCAATTTCAGGCATTACAATGGTGAAAGCCCCGCCCCCTCTGCCTCAGCCGCAGGCTCCACCTACTGAGGAGATCTATGAGACAGCAGCTCCAGATGAGGAGGAAGAAACTCCGCCCCTCCCTCCATTCCCGCCCTCTTTCCGTGACACAGATCCCACTCCTCCCCGTCCTCCCAAACCTGCCTCCAGCCCCGCCCTCCCTCGCAAGACACCCGCTCTGGGGTCCCCTCGACCTCCTATGAGGGGACCAATTCGAGGGGGTCCACTTCCTAATATCCCTGCACTTCGTCCTCCGATTCAGTCCACCCCGGGACCACGCCCTCCTCTTCCTCCACCAGTAGAGAGTGAAAGTGGTGGAGTGGGAGCTGCCACACCTCCTCCCCCTCCTCCTCCCCCTCCCCTATCCCCTCAGGTGAGACTATCACACTGTCTCTAACACTCTCTGTAATGTCCTCTCTCTCCAGACAAGTAATCCCGGTGGGAGCTCCTCCCCTCGGCCCTGGGCCCAGAAGAAAGCCCCTCCGCCCGCCTCTTCCAGCTCTCCGTTCGCTGGGGGCCGGAAATTCCCCGCCCCCTCATCCCGACGTTCCCCCAGCCCCCCTAGAACCTCGGAGAACAAGTTCCCCAGACCATTAGAGATGAAGGGGAGTGGGGTTCCGGTGCCCGGGAAATTTCTGGGGAGATCTGCTCTGAGACCAGTGGGGACAAAGACAGACGGAGAGCCCAAACCTGTCGTCTCTGACAAGCCAATGAGCATACAAGAGAGGATAAAGCTGCTGAAGAAACCAGGAGGTGAGGGTGGAGAGGGAAGGAAGGGACAGCCACCACCGAAACCAGCTGAGGGTGTGAGTCCGTGTACCAGGAGAAAGATGTCGAAAGACTCCAGTGTCAGCGACCTCATTAAGAGCTATCACAGTGGGGGCTCAAGTACTGATGGGGAGAAAAGCCGGCCAATGTCGCCGGAGACCAAACCGGCTCTCCCTGTGAAGCCACCAGCCTTGAGTCCCAAACATGGAGAGAGGTCCCCACAACCAAAGAGACATCCGACAACTCAGCAGATACCACCTGGTCTCCCTGAGAAGCGATCGGGCCAGCCTCCGTGGAAGAAGACGGCATCAGAAGAGCAGGAGGAGCAGGAGCCGCCCAAGAAGACCCGGCAGACTGTCTCGAAGGAGGAAGGACAGAGACCATGGCAGAGAAGGACTAGCGCTGAGGAAGCAACAGAACACAGGCCACCATGGAGGAAGACTGGGGGAGAGGAGACTGTGGATGTGAGGCCACCGTGGAGGAAGACTGGGGGAGAGGAGACTGTGGATGTGAGGCCACCATGGAGGAAGACTGGGGGAGAGGAGACAGCGGATGTGAGGCCACCGTGGAGGAAGAACGAGGAGGTGTCAGAGAGCCGACCGCCATGGAGGAAACCGTCAGTGGAGGAGGAGAGTCAGCCGTCTTGGAAGAGACCGGCGGCAGAGTCCCCACCTCAGGAAGGAGTTGTCCGAAGCAGCTTCACTCACCAGGAGTCAGTCCTCTCTGGGTATAGATAGGCTCGTTCATTACTATGAGGAAATTTGCACATAGAATACTGTGTTGGTTTGACCCGTTGCTCTCCCTCTCTCTCTCACTCTTCTCATGTCTCCTGCAGACCTTTCAGAGCCAGCAAGTCCCCAGCAAAACCAGATCTTCCTCCACCAAGACGGACAGACAACGCCTCACCTCCAGATCTTCCTCCACCAAGACGGACAGACAACGCCTCACATCCAGATCTTCCTCCACCAAGACGGACAGACAACGCATCACCTCCAGATCTTCCTCCACCAAGACGGACAGACAACGCCTCACCTCCAGATCTTCCTCCACCAAGACGGACAGACAACGCCTCACCTCCAGATCTTCCTCCACCAAGACATAAGGAAATTGCCCCGCCTCCACCTGAGCCACCCAGAGCCTCTGACAAACTAAAATCAAGGTTCCCTGCTCCAGATAATGCCCCCTCTGAACCCCCGGGGAGAGGAAAATCAGATAAGGCCCTGCCCACCGAGCCACCCAGACCTCCTCTCCCAGTCGAGAGGTCAAGGTTCAGAGCTCCCGATGGCCCCGCCCCCTCAGTACCGAAACCTTCAGTGGTTCAGGAAGACGCACCTCCCGAAGTCCCAAAGATGACATTCCTGACTAATAACAGGCTGAGAGGCAGGGTTCTCCCCACACAGGAGGAGGAGATGCCGAGACTCCCTCCGCGGCCTCGGAAACTGCCTGATCGTCCCCTCCCGACACACGGTTCAGACCCCGGACCTGGTCTTCCCCAGAGACCATGGCAAAGACCTCCTATAGCTGTGAGTACTGTGCTGTTATGTATGTGAAGCTCTTTGTGTGTGTCACATGACTGTCACATGACTGTCACATGTGTGTGTAAGTATAGGAACCTATGGATTTACCTCCAAGACCTCCCAAGGTATCACTTTTTGAGACCAACCTGGTTAGCACTACATACACCATCATCCACAACAGGAGTGTATCCAACAAGTCTCCCTCTCTCCCTCCACCCATACACACAGAGCCACACAGTGGAGCCAGGTCCCAGCAGCAGCAGTGGATCTCCACTGGGACACTCTTGGTACCACGCCAACCTCAAGGACAGGAAGGTGGCTGAAGCTCGTTTGTTCAAACATCCCAGGGTCAGTCCCCCCCCCCTCTAATTACATGTCAGCTTTGTTTACCGCACTAAAAAAGGAATAGAACTGGTAAAACCAGTTAGTTTGCATTGACACGGACAATGACATACAAAACTCGTGTCTGGTGTCTGTCATTGCAGGATGGGACATTCATCATCAGAGACAGTTCGAGAACAGCCGGAGAGTATTCTCTCTCCCTCCTCTACCACGGAGCCGTCAAACACCTCAGGTGATCCTCACATGATTGTCATGTGACCGTCATCATGTTGTCTTGGTTTCTCGTTGCTGTCATCTCTTGGTCCTCCCTCCACGCAAGTAATTAGGTGATAAATTCCATGGGTTCAGGGTTCACACCATTATTCACATTATCGTAACGTTTATTCATACGGAGGAGAGCCTGAATAAGTACTCCCTTCCTAATATCCTCCCACCCTCCCACAGGATAAGACTGAGAGGGGATGGACAGTATGTGCTGGGAGAAGAAAAGGCAGATGAAGTGGTAAGTCAATAGGAAGTGGGCGTGGTTTCCTGTCCTAAGCCCCACCCACTCTCCCACAGCCGTTTGCCAGTGTGGTGGAGCTGGTCAACTATCACAAGGAAGAGCCACTTGTCCTCAAGAGTGGAGGGAATGTTATGTTGCGTTACGAGTGTCCCCATTAGCCCCGCCCCCTTTCCTCGCCACCTCACATTGTGATACATGCAAACTGTTAGTAGATTATGGGACCACGTCACTTTTCTCACAATCCCACGACGATTTTTTACTGATGCTTATTTCCTGTCATTCTGATTCACAAACACAAACATGTGTGTTTTGTACGGCACTGTAAGTCCATACTGACTGTAAGTCCATACTGACTGTAAGTCCATACTGATTGTAAGTCCATACTGACTGTAAGTCCATACTGACTGTAAATGAGCGTAAGATGAGAAAGCACGCAACTATTTTTACGTTGAAAATGGCACATCATTGTCTAACACACTCAAAAGGTTTTGGGGAGTGACATCACAAATAATTACGAGGGTAAAAGGTCAAAATGGGGTATATAAGGGTGACAAGAGGTGTTATGTAAGAGAACAGAGGTTCATCACGTCAGGTTCATCTGGAAGGGAGGGGAGGGGAGGTCACCGCTGTAGACGGGACACAACTTGAAGGAGCAAGGGTCACTTCTCCAGCAGTACCGCAGGGCTGTTGGCATGGCACCCGCGGCACAGGCAGGCACGCCCACCATCACTTTGTTACTGTCGGCTGCGGTTGCCGTGGCATCCAGCCAGGTTGCATCGCTGCAGCCCAACTCGAAACCATAGGAGTATCGGAGCTCGACCTCTGACCCCGCCAGACTGGTGTACTCTACCACCACCTCCTGCATGTCAGTACTTGAGAAAGGAGGAGAGAGGGGAGAGGGGAAGACAATATTTGGAAACTTTTTTGTGACAAGTTGCAATAAGATTGTGAATGTTTGGATGGTGAGGTATACCTCATAGTTGCAGTGGTAGCAAGAGGTCCAGTGAAGTACACCTCAGAGTCTCCGTAGGCGATGGCACGTCCGGCCAGAGCCAGTCGGAGACCTACATCTTGTTTATCTCGAGGATGGATGGAGCCAAACGGGGAGGAGGGGTCTCCAAGATCCATGGCAACCGCCATGAACACCGCCCGGAGACGAGGGTTGGGGACGAAGCCATAGTCTGCTGTCTGAGCCCAGCGGATGACTGGGAAACCAGGAGAAAATGAGGAACTGTTGTCGGAGCCATAGGCAGCCAACTGGGAGAGAGAGAGAGACAGTCATTTTGTAAAACAGACCCAGACAGACAGAGAAACACTAGTGTGTGGTGTACCTGGACGAAGCCGAAGGGAAAGAGAGAGGAGGTGTGTTGACTGGCATTCTTCCACTTGCCTCTCCAGTCATCAATCATCGCAGGGAACGTGCAGTTGTAGGTTGAGGGATCACCTGCAGAACAGCATCCAGCCTTTACTAACTTACCAACATACATGCCTCTATAGTACCAATATTGCTCTATAGTAAAGTAGAGCACGAAGTATTGTGGATGACAAAGACAAGTTTACATTTGGACACGTCATAGAGTATAGAATCGACAATTTGCTGCTTGTTACAGCAAGTTAAAACAGACTGGAGAGAGGAGAGGGAGGGGAGGGGAGTCCTATATACCAGCGTTGGCCTCTCCCTGGTACCAAACAGCTCCCTTGATGGTCATGTTGAGGAGAGGGTAGATCATGGCGTTCCACAGGACTGATGGCTGGTCAGGAGATGGGGCCTTCCCATCTGCCTTCCTATAGCACAGAGAACATAGTCTGATTGACGTGCTTCTCAATAATTATTATTATGAGTTTCATGAGACTGAAATATAGAAATGTTGTTTCGAACTTGCAAATTGCATGATAGCAACGCAATGAGTGTGTGTGTGTGTACAAACGTAAGAAACCTGGAGGATGTGTATTTTCCACATTTTGCTAGAGCGTCAGGAGAAGACCACGCCTCCACGGGTGTGCCCCCCCAATCAGTGTCCACCAGACCAATTGGGTACTGGACGACATCATAGATATTCCTCCCATAGAACCAGCAGCTGGCAGAGAAATAGGTCCAGTTACCTCCTCCAACTGTCTCTGGGCAAGAGATGGGGGAGACGGAGCAGGACGTTTTGAAAAAACAACTTTGGTCTGCATGTGGCAAGGTTTTAAACAGATTTAGATTTCTTAGTGACTTCAAGGGGGGACTGAAACTGCAGTTCAATAGCTAAATACTAACTAGCACTGGCCACACTCCATGGCTGCTCGACTGCCAACAGCTCCTCGACTGGAGTGTCAGATGCCATGAGAGCTGCCGTGAAGAGTCTGATGTTTGGGTACTTGTCAGCCAGTGCCTCCTCCTCACTGGCATTGAATGCCTACAACAGACAGGGAACAGGGGATATATACAGTAGTAGCAAGTTTAGTTGGTAGTGCAGATCAATCTGTCAGATCTTAGAGTGTGTGTGAATGCAGCAGACCTGAGGAACGGTAAACTGCATGTTGCTCTGACCACTGCAGACCCACACGTCACCAAACAGTACATCGGCCAGTGTGATGGTACCCTGCAATGACGTGGCTGTTATGGTGAATGGAGTGACAGCGTCGGTTGCAGGGAGTGTGGCTATCCAGCGACATTCCGTTCCACCGTCTGGTAAACAGACGGAGAGAGAAGCAAGCGTGAATGGGAGATACGAGAGGCCAAGCAACCTGGTGTCACGGTAGCGGAGATCGTGGCAGAGTTGAAGGTGATATTAACTGCCGCACATTCGTCTACGTACCCCCAGATGTTGGCTTGGGCCGGCGCCCGCTGCAGTACCATGTGGTCGCCATAGTAGTTGGCAAACCTGAAGGCTGCTCTTGCTGTACGTAAGGGAGGGAGGGGGCGGGACTCACCTAGTCAGCTACATCATCTAAGAGTATATACCTGCAGAGGTGTAGAGCAGCAGAAGTACCAGCACTTTTACCATAACTACCTCCGTGTGCTAGGTGAGCTAGATAGATGATAGAGGAGGTTGCGCGATTTATCCCTACACATTTTGATGCGCATGCGCGCACGATTTGTGGGCGGGGCTCAAAGTCGTGGCGAGCGTGCCGTTGTGCTGGATGTCCAGTTTAGTTTTGGACGAATACGATGTCAGGCGCCAGCGGAGAGCGAGGAGTGAGCAGGGGCCGCGGCAGAGGTCGAAGAGGACGAGGGAGAGGATGGAGAGGCGGGGAGAGAGACAGACAGAGCTGGGGGGAAGTGTTTGCGGTGGGCCCGGCTCCGGGTCTCCGAGGATCTTTCCCCAGACCTCCTGGGAGAGGAAGAGGAGTGGAACTGTGGCCTTCTTTACAGCCAGATCACATGCCCAGCTGGTTTTCCGGTCCGCAGTGGTATCCGGGAAGAGGACGAGGCTTTGTACAACCACCGCATTTTCCACCACCAGCCTTTGCTCCTACTCTTTACCCCAGTGCTCCACCCCGACACCCCAGTTCTCCACCCGACACCCCTCTCCCCGACACCCCAGTACTCTACCCAGACACCCCACTCCACACGGGAGGTACTCCCTCTACCGTCTGGTAGGATCCATTATCGGCAGTTGTCTCATTTGTCTGACATCAGGGGGAACCCCCTGCTCCAACGACCTTGGGAGACGATCAATGAACCTGAGCAAGTGGGCCAGACTCTGCCCACCATTCTGATGGTGATGACCTACAATGTCCTGGCCCAGAGTCTGATAGACAAGAACATGTAAGTGTCAGGGAGCCTATATGCTGGCTGCTAGAACTGTACCGCAGGCACCTCTACCGGAACACAGGGGCCTTGTATTGGGAGAGCAGAAGACAGCTGCTACTGAGGGAGCTGAGGGAGGCCAGAGCTGATGTCAGGGGCCTCCCCTCCTCTTCGTCTAGGCTGGTTGCTAATTCGCTCTCTCTCCCTGCAGATAGTGTGCCTCCAGGAGGTGGAAGAAGAGCACTACCATAATTGGTTCCTCCCTAACATGTCTTCACTAGGTATTATACTTCAGGAAATTTAGGCATAAAAGTAAAGTTTTGTCTTCACACATGACACTTGCAAAAGCATTCTCAGGCGACAGTGCTGGTTGTGGTTGAGACTATCCTTATACTGCTGGCAGTGCAACTAACAACAATGTGCTGGCTTTCCTAATTCAAACACGTGCAGCTGACATACTAACATAAATGGGCTTTTCGTTCCACTAGTGCTAGCCAACATTAAAGTGTTCTCTTTCTCTGTTCTCACTGTCTCAGGGTACGGTGGACTGTACAAGAAGAGGACGGGAGAGAACACTGATGGCTGTGCAGTGTTCTACAACAGCTCTCGACTGAAGCTGCTGGACTGGAGACCAGTGGAGTTCCAGAGGAGAGTCAAGGTCCTGGACAGAGACAACGTTGGACTAGTGGCAAAGTTTGAGATCCCAGTCTCCGGTCAAAGGTCCGCGGCGTTCTGCCTCGCCACCACCCACCTGCTCTTCAACCCCAAGGCAGGGGAGGTGAAACTGGCACAGATGGTCTGCCTCCTTGCCGAGCTGGACCGGCTTGCCACGCCCCCTTCCGGCGAGCCCCGCCTCGCTTGCATCGTGTGTGGGGACCTGAACAGTCTCCCATCCTCTCCTCTGCTGCGGTTCCTGGAGAATGGCGTGCTGCGCCTACTCTGGACTCAAGAGGGACCAGGTAGCCGGGTACCACTTCAGAGACTCCTCACAGAGAGAGCCAATCCCGGTACCTCTCCTGCCTCCTGAGGTCCCCATCAGTCGGGAATGTCGCCTTCTCTCTGCCTCAGACGACAACCCCGCTCGCCCTGGCCTCGACTCCATTCTCTTCCACGGTACCATCTTTATCTCTGCCTATTTCTCCCCATCCCCCCTCTCGTCGCCGTTCTTCACAAAGACCCCCGTCTGGTCATGGCTCCTCTAATCATCCCTCGTCTGATGTCACCGCTACTACCAGTGCTCAACCCAGCCCTCCTGCCCATAGTTTCACTGGTGTTCATTCAGCTCGACCTACGTCTGGTGGTAGTCCCAAATCAGTCACAACATACCATCTGAAGGCATCTGAGATGGTGGACTACATCCACTACACCCCTACCTCTTTCTTGATGACTTCCTCCAACCGTCGCAGCCCCTTCAATCAAGAGGACTACAGACAGCCGGGGTTCTGTCTGCTCGGGCGACAGAGTCTCATTAGTCCAGGGAGTCTGAGGAAGATGGGACCCCAACCTCACAGCCTCCTGCCCTCCGACCACCTCTGGCTCCTGGCTCGTCTCCAGTTCTTCCCTGGACCCCAACACACTCACTAGGACTCTGACTGTCAGTACTTTCTACCAATCACTTGGGTTGCATTTGTAGTTAGGTTGGTTTTTTTTAAATTTCATGTAACATACCACCCTATATCAAAATCAGAGCCCGACCTGTGTCACTAACTTTCTCTATTACTTTATCCTACAAATTCATTTTATACCTCAGAGCCCCTACCCCCCTACCCCCCTATATATATACTCAGTTTCATTCTCAGTTAATAGATTCACCTCTGGTTTGATTAAAGACAGACAATGCAAACGGAAAAAGCCATGTATGGATGGTGAGAGAGAAGGAGGAAGAGGAGGGAGCAGTGAAGTGACCTGTTGTACTGCACTGTGGCAGTGGCTGATGAACAAAGAGAGTGAGTGTGTGATGTGTTGGGTGAAAGAATTGATTGCCTATAAGTGGAGATGTCACAAACAGTCTTGCTGGCTGGCTGGGAGAGAGCTAGACCATCATGTCGCTGGTGGTGGTGGTGGTGGTGGTAGTGGGAGTCTGTGAGGACGTCTGGGGTGCCACGTCTCTCAGTGACACACTCACATCTCTACGGAACACTGACATGTTCTTGGTAAACCTATAGGGACGACACAAATGGTCATCATGGGACAGTAAACTGTTGCTGCATACATATTGCAGGTATCAGTTGGCCTACTAGTACGCCATACCGTGACTGTTAATTTCAGTTGCAATTTCCACATACTCTGAGTTCCCCATACTCCCAGTTCCTCATATTCCCAGTCCCCCATACTCACAGGTCCCCATGCTCACAGGTCCCCATACTCCCAGCTCCCCATACTCAAGTCCCCATGCTCACAGGTCCCCATACTCACAGGTCCCCATACTCCAGGCCCCATGCTCCAAGTTCCCCATACTCACAGGTCCCCATACTCACAGGTCCCCATGCTCCCAGTTCCCCATACTCACAGGTCCCCATACTCACCCAGTTCCCCATACTCACAGGTCTCTGTTACGTGGTTGGAGGTTTCTCTCCACTTTGTCCATGAGGTTGTCAAAGCATTGTGCCATGGCAGGCTGTCTGTCAGCTGGCTGCATGGCTATCACTCTCTCCCTCAGACTCTTGAAATACTACAGTCAACAACAACACAGGGATTATCTAAAGACACCCTTGATGCCCTGAAATGGGGACACCTCTCTTTAATCATTTTCTTTCTCCAAGAAAAGTTAACACCTGAAATAAGTATGCCTCTCTAATCTGGACAATTTGTCTGTCCCATTGGTGTCTGGATACAATAATTGCCAGTAACCCACAGCCACACCACAATAAAGTTCATTCTCCCACTCTCACCTCTTCATTGAGGAGGATGAGACCGAGGAGAGGTCTGGACATGGACCACTGGTTCCTGTAGTTCTCAAACATGATAATGTTCATGATGGAGGACAGCATTCCCTGGAGGAGCCCGGGGTTCAGGTCCAGAATCCTCAGGAATGGAGTGGTGGGGCTCGGCGACATTCCCCCCTTCTGCCGACTCAGTTTCTTGAAGAGGAAGGTGAGGATGTGGTCCAGAGTGCTGCAGCACCCGGTGCACACCATGTTGTCTGGGGACCACGGAAGATGGCGAGTTGTAAACATAAGTTGCATACTACATTACACACAGGCTTTTGCCATTCTTGTATCTCGCCTCTATCTAACTGTCTCTCGATATTATTCCTATAATCTCCAGTCCCTATGCATCCCCAGAATATGATGGGTATAATAAGTATATACTGCCCGTGAATATTTGAGGGTTTGACCATTCTTTATTGTGCAACAACCGTGTTCGTAACTGCCCATGAGAGTTCGCCCTTCAATGGCTCCAGCAACACACATATCCATAGACCACACACCCCTCATCACCTAGACCACACCCACCCAGTCCGGTGAGGCCCTCAGAGATGGAGGAGAAGAGGTACGTGAAGACTGACGGCTCCAGACCACTGATGAAGTCCATGTGGTCCTGAGTCAGCACCTCCAGCAGCCCGTAGTACGCCTGACTCACCTTTGGGTAGTCCTGCAGCAGGGGGAGAGGGGTTAAACCAGGAACAGGCAGAGTAGGGGTTAAAAATGGAACAGGCAGAGTAGAGTTAATCAAGGAGCAGGCAGAGAAGAGTTAAAAACAGGAGTTAGGAAGAGAAGGGTTAACCAGTAAGTTCTTGAGAGGGACGGAGACAAGGAGTTTGACAAACATGTCCAGAGCCTTGTCTAGAGCCGTGTCGCCATAGAGACGGAGGACTCCGAAGTTGACGTAGTTACCGCAGAGAGCCGCTTTCAGCATGTTGAAACAGATGGCCACACCCTTCAATCTGGGCGTCGGTCAAGGGAGCTACAACAGTGCTTAACAATCACATGATAGATTCAGACATATCACCACAAGAGAAAGGGGAATCGGCACCACATCACGACTGTCATGTGACAGTCAGGTGACGGTGGGCAGGATACTTGAGAGGGTAGACCTTGTCGGGAGGAATGTCAGAAATGCTGAGGACCCTCTCTCCATAGGAGACCATTGACTTGGAGGCCTCTCTAAAGAGGAGGACTCCGTTGGGTGACGTCACGTCAAACAGCAGTCTCTGGAATGGGGGAATGGGCACACGGGAGAATGGAAACTACAACAGTTATTTCCTATTCCGTTGAAATGATGTGGAAAGGGGTGTGGAGGTAAGACTAGCAACCTGTGAGCGGTTGAGGACCAACTCGGCAATCAGCTTGAGAACAGGAGTGGTGACTGTGGGGTCGTGGTACCACAGAGTGAGGGCCCTCTGCAGCAGCTCTATGTATGTAGGGTAGCTGAGGGCACTGGGGTCAAGGTTCATATCACCCAGCAATAAAATTTAATGGTGCTGTATTTATATATACAATACTAGGAGTTTTCTAGACACAGTGAGAGTAGATGTGCTCATAGCTCTGTGCAAGATTGCTAACAACCCTACATTGCTGTCTGTGCATGTGTGGTGAAGGTTAAAAGGAGGGAAGAAGTAAGGAGAAGACAGAGGGAGGGATACAGCCAGTCAAAGAGGAGCATGTATGTGTTTCTGGAGTGGAAGGCAAGAGCGACTCCCCGCACGTCTCGACACAGGCCGACCAGCGATCTCCTCAGCTCCTCCTCACTGACCATCCCACCCATCTGCTGCTGACTGAACATCTGACGAATGTTCTCTGCCGCAGCTGCAGGGTGTGTGTGTGAGGGTGTGGAGGTGACAAAGGGAGGAAGAAGGGGTGAGTGAAGAGAGAGATGAGAGACACAGACAAGAGAGAGAAGGACCAGGGAAGAAGAGAGAGGACCCAACTGGTCATGGGTCTGATGAAGGAGGAGAACTTGTCCTCATCATCTCCCAACTCAACCACCAACAGTCTCCCGAGAGCCGTGTAGAACGACGTACGACATCGTGTGTCCAGGTTGCCGTGGGTTACACTCAGGAATGGGAAATGTTCGGGCTAGAGAGTGAGAGAGCAAACCGCAAACGATAGTAAAGATAAACAGTGATGGAGCCTGCAATACCAGTATTGCATGTGTTGGACTCTGATAGCATTCTTTAGGTCTACATGCAAAAAAATGGAGTTACAGGAGAAAATTTTCATTGGAGATAAAAATATTTTTCATGGTCCTCATTTTTCATTTTCAACACGGCATATTCTAGCTGCATTATGTGTGGTGTGTGGGTAGCTAATTAACCGTGTGGTTCTCCAAGATAAACTGAATGGTGTTGAGTTTGACTAGTTTCCTGACACTACTGTAGCCGACCGAGAGGTCGTTGAGCAGCTGGAGGGTCTTGTTGGTTATGACACTACTGGATATCCAACACTTGAGGTTTGTCACTCTGGGAGGGAGGGACACACAGTGAGGAATTGACAGGGAGAGGAGGAAGAGTAAGGTAGAGTGATACAGTACCACCATGAGCATTCTGCCAAGTGTATGCATGCTGCTATGTATACTAATAGAGTTCCTAAAGAAAGGAAGGAATTCGACTCACATCTTCCTAACAAAGACGTTGAGGAGCATCGACTCATCATTGATTCCCAGCTGCTCCGCGAGGGGCTGGTACACCTGCATTAAGCCACACCCTAAACCACACCCCTCTGCCACGCCCACCCAGCCTCACCTTGGACGTCTTCTGGACCACGACCTCGCTGACGTAGACCATTCTGAACTTCTCGAAGAAGTGGAGGAAGGCCTTGTCGAGATGTTCACAGCCGTGTTGGGGAAGATGGAGGTCAGTCATGTTCATCAGCTGCAGGACTCTATGTTCAGGGTGGAGAGAGAGGGGGGGGAGGTACTGCTTACTCCAGCTATGTTGTGGTTGAACTGGTCTTTCCCGGCATGCTAGCTAAAATTCTGAAGAAGTTAGTAACTGCCGAAGAACAGATTTTCACTGCATACTCCAGCTATAGTCAAGGTATTCAGGATTGAACTCTTTCTCGCGTGAATGTGGTGCTGGAACCTGTTCCGCATACAGTACGAGAGAAGAGAGTTACCTGCAGACGAGCTGTCCGTCCATGGAGTCATAGTGATCAGCATTAGTGTGGGAGATCCTGCCTCCAATGACAGAGCCAATGAGGTAGACCAGCCAGGTCAGCTGGCCCTCTCTCAGAGCCAGCTCCTGGGGCGGGCGGGAGGAGGTCTGCATGAGGCTCTGGTAGACACTGGCCGAGGTGTCAAACAGGGAGATGAGCAGCTGACATGTCTTACTGTACTCACACCTGGAGGGAGGGGGGAGGGAGGGAGGGAGGGAGGGAGGGAGAGAGAGTGCACGTCTTTGCCAGAACATGAGGTCTGACTACACAAATTATTCTCAGGTTAACTACAGAGTTCCATAGGGAGTAGTATGGTACAATGCCCTGAATGTTGCTCAAGACACAAATTGAACATTACAGGACTCCCAGAGGAGGAGGATCGTACCGTCCGATGGTGGCCATCTGGTCCAGCTGCTGGGAGACAATTGTGTTGTCGTCAAGAGGGTTCTCCAGGTTGTCCCTGACGACAGACTCCATGGCCTTCCAGTCGTGACGTGATGTAGGCACTCGTGATCTGCAGGGAGAAGGAAGGAGAGGAGAAACGGCATCACTGTGCCGCCAGATGTGGAACTGTCAAAACAACTACTGCAGTTCACACTGGCAACACAACAACAACAACAACAACCAACCACAACAACAAGTATATGTACACAAACAAGTGAACCTCAGGCATGTACGTGTCAAGTAGGTGTGGCTCTGTGGAGCGGATGTAGGGAACGGAGCCGACTAGTCTCTGCCAGAACCCCAGCAGATAGTGGATACTGTTGGCCGAGAACTGCCACGACTGGGGGAGAGATGGAGGGGGATTACTAGGAACTTTGCCAGAGCACAAGAAGAATGTATATAGCAGCTGTTCATTACAACACGTGTGTAGCTAGAAATGAAAGGTTACATACCTGAAGACTGGAGATGGTGAATTTGGCGATGAGCTCAATCAGTCGAGAATACTCCTCTAATCTCATCAGCTCCCCCAACTGGTAGTTGGACTTGAGTCTCATCATCAGACGACAGAACTCGTGGTAGCACTCACTGTCTGCCAGGGCCTGAGACACAGGGGGGATTGGGAACTTGAGAGTCATGTAAGGCAGTAAGAGAGCAAAGTGGTAGACCTGTGGCTGTTCCAGAATGCTGCGCACCCCCTTCACCAGTTCAGCCAGGAACGTTCCTCTCTCGGTGTTGGTGAAGAGAGAGCGACGCACACTGGCCAGCTGGACAAGACACGTCAGGGACTGGAGAGAGAGAGAGAGACGATGTCATAACCACACCCCATGATGTCATAACCACTCACCATGGCAGCCAGCTCCGAGCTGAGGTTGTGGAAGAGGTCAAAGTACAGCTGGAGGGTGTGGCTATCCAGGAATATGGATCTCCAAGTGGTGGGTATCTGGACTGTAGCTAGGTCGTCTGCTGACTCGTCAGTCGAGGTTCCAATGAAGTCAAAGGAGAGACAGGCACAGGACAGCTTCAGTAGCCAGCTGATGAGAGAGCTCTGCAGCAAGAACATAAATACCAGCTACTAATTAAGGAGCAGAAGAAACATACTGGGTGACATTAATTTTTATAGCTTCAGAAAGGTTTGTTGTAAAATCTGTCCTTGTGGCCAAAGATGTATTTGTTTTTCGCTAACGAATTTTTACACATCAGTGACAACTAGGATGTGGAGCAGCTTGAAAATACTCATGGAAAGGGAGTTAACCTGAGTGTCATCTCTGACATTGATCTGGCGGAGGAGGGTGCAGGAGAGGGTGAAGATGTCGAAGAGAGACTCGTCTCTGAATGAGCTGGCAACCTTGCGGTGTTTGGCCAGTGACCTCATGGACTCCGACTGGTTCATCTCCAGCACCAGCTGGTGGAGGATCTGAACACCCACCACACAGTGCTCCACTGACCCCTGCGATGAGGGAGGTTGGAAACACAGTTACATGTGGTGGGGAACTATTTGAGGGGGAACAAATTCTGCAGACTCTTATCCAGTCGACCAGTAAAGGTGCTCTCCCTAACTACATGTATAGTACAGTGCCATATACGTACTCGGAGAAACTTCCCCACTTCGTCGAGGATGTCTCTGAAGACGAACCCTTTCTTGTCTCCGTTGAACCATCCGTCTTTGGTGATACGGGCTATCAGCTGACGACAGTTAGAAGAGAGGTGGGGTAATTAGTTCATTAATTGCAGGGGGCATCTACAACATACCTGGACCAGAGCTTGTGTGACGTATGGTGCTAAATACACGTTACTTCCCAAGTACTGTAGTACATAGCTCCCTGGATTGAGACAATACACTGGTGACTGTAGCAGAGAGAGAGACAGAGAGAGACAGAGAGAGACAGGGGTTGGTTGGTGGACACTCACTCAGCTGCAGTCTGTCCTGAATTGACAGGTTGGCAGTACTTCGTGTCACCAGTTTAGTCAGGGTTGAGGCTGCCAGCAGGAGGGCAAATGGACTCTGTACGGAGAAAGTGTAGAAGAGGAAGGGAGAGTGTGTGTGTGTGTGTGGGTGGGGGGAGGGTCAGGGGTCAGACCTGGGATCTCTCCAATATGAACTGGCACTGTGGTAGAGACTCGGGGCTCTCAGAGAAGGTGACCAGAGCTTTCTCTGCCTCGGAGCGGACCACCAGGTCCATCGACTCGTAGAACTGCTGGCACACCAGCTCCAGCTGGGCTAGTTGCTGGAGGAGAGAGGGGGGAAAGTGGGTGGACTTGGGCTCCAGCTGTAAATGGGAACTGTGAAGGGAGGCGGAGGCAACCTCAATTTGCTCCACATGCTGTACCATTGACGCAGGGTTTGATATCTAGGACAGGTTTATAGGCTCGGGAAAAGAGAAGGAGGGGGTGGTGCAGAGCCCCGCGCCCGCTGAATGTTCTGCGGGACATGCATACACTCTACCTGGTCGTCCATTGCGAAGCATGGAGTTCTGAAGCAGCACGCAGCTGTAGGATCAGCCAGAGCACGCACACACTGCGATCCTGCCTGCTGCTACTGGCTGAAGCTAGCTCAAGCTGCTCGATATATCGACCTGCTAAACCCACGTACCTGCACACGTTTTTCTTCAGTGATTTCGCATAAATAGAATATACGGTAGGTAGGTATAGGAATGGGAATACCTGGAACCAGGTCTGGGGACATCAACACGTGTTCAGTGGCTGATAGAGATCGAGATGAACTTCAACTTGGGTCAGCAGAAAGGCGGGCTGTCTCTAGGAGGAGGTCTCCAACTAGGAGTGCTAGGACAGCAGCAGCAGCAGCTAGGTAACAGAGACAAAGAGCGTGTGTGAAGCTTTGTCAACGGCTGGATCTCTCTCCCAGCAGCAGGCGGGCTCAGCGGTGGAGCGGGGCTAGGTCTTGGACTCGGAGCCACGCAGCAGCAGACAGCAGGTGAGCTCCTCTTCTTACATCTCACGGTGTGGGATCAATGGTGATTCTCATACACTGTTAGCTCCCTTTGTTGCCTGTTGTAGTAGTGATTCTATGGTGCTGCAGGTCTAGGGACAGGACTGAAGCTGGGAATGCCAACTGCTGCTGTGGCTCCCCAGCCTTCAGCTTCTGGTGGCTTATCTGCCTCCTCTGGACTTCAGCTTGGTTCAGGACAGACTGGGGGGCTTTATGGACAAGCTAGAGGACTACAACTTGGTTCAGGACAAGCTGGAGGACTGCAACTTGGTTCAGGACAAACTGGAGGACTGCAACTTGGTTCAGGACAAGCTGGAGGATTGCAAGTTGGTTCAGGACAAGCTGGAGGACTGCAACTTGGTTCAGGACAAGCTGGAGGATTGCAAGTTGGTTCAGGACAAGCTAGAGGACTACAACTTGGTTCAGGACAAGCTGGAGGATTGCAACTTGGTTCAGGACAAACTGGAGGACTACAACTTGGTTCAGGACAAGCTGGAGGACTGCAACTTGGTTCAGGACAAGCGGGAGGACTACAACTTGGTTCAGGACAGCTGAAACTTGGCCAAACCAACCAACAGAAAGGTCTTCAGCTGGGTGGTGGGTTGACTGGTGGGCTTCAATTAGGAGCCACGCAGACTGGCGGTGGTGGACTTCAATTGGGAGCAGCGGCTCATGGGCTTCAGGCAGGTGGCGGGCTTCAATTAGGAGCAGCTCAGAGTGGGGGTGGTGGGCTTCAATTGGGGGTAACTGCCACTCAGACAAAAGGACTGCAACTTGGAGGTGCAACCACAGCTGCCACTCAGAACAAAGGTCTCCAGCTGGCAGGAGGAGGTGGGCTTCAATTGGGAGTAGGGACGACTGGAACCACCCAGAGCAGAGGACTGGGCCTCGGAGGAACGTCTCTTGCTGCTGGTCTGCAGACGACGACCCCAGGGCTCGGAGGACTGGGAGCTCAGAACAGAGGCATCCAGTTGGGAGGACTGCCCACTGCCACCACACTGGGTAGCCTGGGTGGAGGAGGAGTGAAGGCAGGTCTCCCAGGGATGCTAGGAGGAGGACTCCCTACCAGTCAGACTGCCTCCACCTCATCTGCTGCCTCCTCTTCATTCAGAGGTCTGGGGGGAGTGGATCCTAATGCTGGGAAACCAGGGGCTGGAGATGGCAGGTAAGGTCACTGTGTTAGGACTTGAAACAAGTTGAATTTAACATCTAGGAATAGCTGCACTGTATAGAACACAGTGTCGAGCATTCCAACATAATAGAGGCATTTTTGTTTAAAAATTGCAGTGCACTATAATGTATTGCTCTCACCTATAGCTCCAGGAAATATATCATGACTGAGTGTGTGTCTGTGTGTGTAGTTCAACCCCAGTGATGGAGCAGCCCCTCCCTCCCGTCCTGAACCAATTGGTCCACCAGTTCTCCCAACACATGAAACAGCAGTCGACCACGGGAGACGAGATGGACAAATTCTCCGACAGTGACATGAAGAAGGTTCAGCAGGAGACTGGGACACAGAGAGAGGTGAGGGAGGGAGGGAGAGAGGGGAGGGAGGGGTTAAGATGTGTAATGCTTCAACTTGAATAAGACTTGGTGTGGTATAGTGTGATGATGTATAATTATGTTGTGTGTGTCTGGAGGTGGTGGGTGAGCTGCTGGCACAGGTCCAGAGAGATGCTCAGAGAGTCAGCTACCTCAAGGGAGAGAACACCAAGGTAGACTCCAGTCATGTGACGGTCACATGACCACAAGTGATAGTCACATGACTACTCTCCCCCCAGGAGCTGCGTCATGTGGAGATAGCTCAGCGGACGCAGGAACTCCCAGCAACCCTGCAACATGAGAACACAGCTCCTGCACAGTACAGTCTTACCTTCTGTCTTCTGGAGTTCTGATAGTTCGCTCACTGCAGCTATTTCCAGTCTGTGGTGGCAGTATTTGAAGAGAAGATGGAGTTGTATCGGAACCAGTTGGTGGAGCTGGAGAGCCACTTGTCTGCCGTCGGTCGCGACCACTCCGTGTCCCCTCAGAGTGAATCTCTTTTACCTCCTCTCTCCCTCTCCTGTCTGGGTGTGTGGTGTAAGATGTTCTTTGTTTTCAGATCTGGTAGACATTCTCCAAGTGCAGTACAAACCATTCCTTCTGCTGGCAGCTCAACTGCAGACCATCCACGAACAAGTCCAGGTACAGGCTTATACATGTGAACCCATCAACTTTTCCAGCCTACTGAAACACAATGTGAAAGGCTCTATTCCCAGTTCATGTGTTCACGATACTGAAAGTAAACTACCTGCCTTGGCATGACATAATATCTACTGTGTTTCAATGTGAGTGTTTGGTGGTTCAACTAAGTGCATAATTTTTCTACTTTCCCCCATTTGTCTGATCTCTGTATATATTCAGATACTGAGAGAGCAGTATCTGGCCTACCGTCGAGTGTTCCTGCAAGACTCCACTGACGTGTTTGAAGATAGGAGGAGGAGGAGAGAGGCTGAGAGTGAGAGAGGGAAGGTGAAGACTGGACCTCCTCCCTTCTCTGCCGCCATGGGCCAGGCCACCACTGCTCTCGCTGCCTTCTCTACTGGACCTGGTGAGCTGGGGAGGGAGAGGAAGAGCTTGGGAAGGAGAGTGTTGTGTTGTGTTCTGTAGGTCTGACAGGAGGAGTTGGGACTGGATTAGGTCTGAGAGGAGGTATGGGGGGAGGACTAGGAGGACTGACAGGATTTGGAGGAGGGATTGGAGGAAGTGGGGGTCTTGGGACTGGAGGTCTGGGGACTGGGGGTCTGGGGCAGCAGAACAGAGGCCTGACTCTTGGTTAGTCCTCCACTGTATATAGCAGTGAGTGAGACTGTTTGACATTCTCCCCGTGGCAGGAGGAGGTCTGGGAGGGATGGCAGCCAGTCAGCCATCTCTCACTGGTGCAGGCACTGGCCAACCATTCCAGTTACAGAGACCTCCGCTCGGCAAGAAGAGAGGAACTGTTACCACATGATTATTCTTCGTGGTGCTATAAATATAACGTTTTTTTCTTTTCGTCGCGGCAAGCGCGAGGAGTTCTTGTTGGGAGGAGATGCGGTCGCTAACAGCGTGTATTATTGTGTTTCAGGTTCTACTAGTCCGAGGAGGGCCTGAGAATCCATCTCCTGGTGAGATCTTACAACTGCCATAGTTGTCGAGCTAATATCGTGGGACTTCTGCAGAGTGCGGTGACGAAGACGTACGGCTATTGACCGCTGCGGACAACAATGCGATCTCCGCTGCACTAGACGGTGTACTTGGTGACGTTAACGGAACTCTCGAGATCTGCGAGAATGAGCTCTGGAAGAAGGTCGTGTTGTGCCTGAATGAGGGAGAAGGAGAGCAATGGATGACAGAGAACACTGCAGTAGTCTGCAGGGAACTGGGATATCCTGCTCCAGGTTTGGTCTCAGACTCTACTGGTGGCTAGTGGTAGCTAGGAAGTTGGCAACTGGATAAGATGAATCTCTTTGTATAGGTGAATCTGGAGCTATTGCTTTTCAGATTGTAAGCAGGAAACTGTCATACGTACCTCAATGTATGGGGAGTGAGGACAGACTGAGAGACTGCACTACTGTAGATCAAGATGACAGTTGTGATGCTCCACTAGTTATCAGCTGTTTTAACAGCTCGCAAGTCACAACTATTCATGGGACATTACTGAGAAGCACATCTGCACTAGTCTCCTCTGCTCTTACACCAACATCAACGTTGTATTCAGTCAAACAATCCTCCTCCTCTTCCTATTTTGCTGGAGAATGCCTCATGTCAGACACCATCAGCACTACCATCCTCCAGCCCTCTCCCCACACCACACACTGGAGCCAGTACCAGTGGTGAGAGGTGTTGGCTGATGTTTGTGTATGGTGTACTGGTAGGAGCAGTAGTGGGAGCTGGGATAACAGGAGCTCTGGCTCTCTGCTATCTGATTCTCAGAAAGAGAAACATCCAGTCAAATGAAACACTTTCAGGTGAGGTTTTCAAACAAACATAGTCAGCTAAACTTGTTTGTTGTTGCATGGAATAGTAGGAAATCAGTGAAATTCTTGTTGTTGCGGTACCCAACCTGATGATTATATAGGTGAAGGAGATGAAATGGAGAGGAACCCAGCCTACCAGACCTCTGCCTCCCTCATTCCCTCCTCCTCTAACCCTTCATATGCTGGACTCAACGTGACTGCTAATGCACAAGTCTACGAAGATGTTTCAGCCCTCTACTATACTAAAGACGCGTTTTGTACGCATGCGCGTTTTGTTGCGGCAATGCGCGCAGCATAGTGCAGTAGTATCTTTCGTCGCGGAGCAAGAAGGATGAGGTCTCATGTGTGGTCTCTACTGGCGGCACTACTCCGCGTTCTACTAGTCCGAGCTGGTCCTGAGAATCCATCTCCTGGTGAGATCTTGCAACTGCTATAGTAGTTGTCTAGCTAAATGTCGTGGGACTTCTGCAGAGTGCGGTGACAGAGCCGTACGGCTATTGCCGCTGCGGACAACAATGCGATCTCCGCTGCACTTGACAGTGTGTTAGGGGACGTGTACGGAACTCTCGAGATCTGCGAGAATGAGCTCTGGAAGAAGGTCGTGCTGTGCTTGAATGGAGGAGAGCAATGGATGACAGAGAACACTGCAGTAGTCTGCAGGGAACTGGGATATCCTGCTCCAGGTTTGGTCTCAGTCTCTCTGGTAGTGGTAGCTAGGAAGTTGGCAACTGGATAAGATAAGTCTCTTTGTATAGGTGAATCTGGAGCTATTGATTTTCAGATTGTAAGCAGGAAACTGTCATATGTACCTCAATGTATGGGGAGTGAGGACAGACTGAGAGACTGCACTACAGTAGATCAAGATGACAGTTGTGATGCTCCACTAGCTATCAGCTGTTGGAACAGCTCGCAAGTCACAACCATTCAAACTCCTGTGACATAACTGACTAGCACATCTTCGCTAGTCTCCTCTGGTCTTACACCAACATCAACTTTCAGACAATCCTCCTCCTCTTCCTATTTGCTGGAGACTGCCTCATGTCAGACACCAACTACCATCCTCCAGCCCTCTCCCCACACCACCCACTGGAACCAGTACCAGTGGTGAGAGGTGTTGGCTGATGTCTGTGTATGGTGTACTGGTAGGAGCAGTAGTGGGAGCTGGGATAACAGGAGCTCTGAATCTCTGCTGTCTGATTCTCAGAAAGAGAAACATCCAGTCAAATGAAACACTTTCAGGTGAGGCTTTGAAACAAACACAGTCAGCAAAAACTTGTTTGTTGTTGCATGGAATAGTAGCAAATCAGCTTGCAATTCTTGTTGTTTAGCTGGTACCCAACCTGATGATTATATAGGTGAAGGAGATGAAATGGAGAGGAACCCAGCCTACCAGACCTCTGCCTCCCTCATTCCCTCCTCCTCTAACCCTTCACATGCTGGACTCAACGTGACACAAGTCTACGAAGATGTTTCAGCCCTCTAAAGACGCGTTTTGTACGCATGCGCGTTTTGTTGCGGCAATGCGCATGCTTTTGCGGCAATGCGCAGGCATGCATTTGCAGTATATATAGTACTTTCGATAGTGATCGCGGAGCAGAAGGATGAGGTCTCATGTGTGGTCTCTACTACTGGCGACATTACTCCGCGTTCTACTAGTCCGAGGAGCTGGTCCTGAGCATCCCTCTCCTGGTGAGATCTTGCAACTGCCACAGTAGTTGTCGAGCTAGTGTCGTGCGCCTTCTGCAGAGTGCAGTGACAGAGACGTACGGCTATTGACCCGTTTTGGGAACAACAATGCCATCTCTGCTGCACTTGACGGTGTGTTAGGGGACGTGCACGGAACTCTCGAGATCTGCGAGAATGAGCTCTGGAAGAAGGTCGTGTTGTGCCTGAATGGAGGAGAGCAATGGATGACAGAGAACACTGCAGTAGTCTGCAGGGAACTGGGATATCCTGCTCCAGGTTTGGTCTCAGACTCACTGGTAGTGGTAGCTAGGAAGTTGGCAACTGGATAAGATAAATCTCTTTGTATAGGTGAATCTGGAGCTATTGATTTTCAGATTGTAAGCAGGAAACTGTCATACGTACCTCAATGTATGGGGAGTGAGGACAGACTGAGAGACTGCACTACTGTAGATCAAGATGACAGTTGTGATGCTCCACTAGTTATCAGCTGTTGGAACAGCTCGCAAGTCACAACTAGTCAACTGTCTCCCTCTCTCCCTGTAACACCATCCACCTATTCAGTCAGCAAACCAGCAGTCTCCTATCCATTTTCCTTGTCACAGTCATCAACCACTGCAGTCTCTACCACAGAACTACACAGCCCAGTCTGACAACTGGTCCTGCCTCCACTCCAGACACTGACTCTCCATCCACTGACACTGGTACCACTGACAATACTACCACTGCACCACAAGCCCTCGTCTATCTGGCGGCTGCAGTGGGGACTGTGGTGGCTCTTCTGCTAGTATCAATAGCTGGGGTGGTCCTCTACCTCGCCTGCCACAGGAGGGAGAAAGTGAGGCCCCAGAATGAGCCATATGAGGTCCCAGTCACCACAGCCGCGAGGAACCAGACCTTCCAGGAGGTGCCAGAGACAGAGGTTCTCTACGACAGAGCCACCACTTCAATCCAGAGGGAAGACAGCCAGGAGTACCACACTCTCAATCACTCTCTCTCCCCCAGCAAACCATCTCCTCCTCTCAGTAGTCACTCAACCGGCAGCTCCACTGGTCCTCCTCCAGTATATGATACCGTGGCCCCTCCAGCCTCGTCTCAGACCAATCCAGCCAGGGATCCCCCCACTCAGAAACCTCCGGTCTACTACCACGTACTGCAGAGCCCCACAGAGAGGGCAGAGGTGAAATATCACACTCTAGAGGAGCCAGCAGGCCACATCCTAGAGCAGCAGGAGAGTGGAGGGGTCAACCCCAGTGGAGGTCAGCAATGTACAGTGAGGTGGGGCAGAGACGAGCTGCCACTCTGCAGCCACACCGACAGGCACCCTCCTCCTCCTCCTCCTCAAACCTCACCATCTCCCTGCCCAGAAACATCTCGGGATCAACTACACAAGTCTCTTTAGTCTGACATCTGGCAGAACAGGCATCAAATTTCGTGTATGCATTTACATTGGCCATGTGTACCTGTGCATTAGCGTGTGTATGTCGTGCACTAATGTAGATGTGTGTGTGTGTGTGGGTGGCAATCAAGGGCTGTGTGCTGCATTTCTCAGATTTCATGGATCATCCCCCTTCACTGTTGTACTCCGAACTGAGTAAATAAAAGCCACTCAGAGTAACGAAAAAGGAAATACGTAATGCCGATAAGAATGTCGCCACGTCCATGAAGTGTGTCTGGCGGTACCATAATAGTATAGAGACCATCATGCACGTTTAGCGTAATGGGGACACTAACTCTTACGGATAAAACAGCTCTGTCAGTATTGGTGACACATAGACCAGTATAATACATTAGAATGTAGATATAATATGCAACTGTTAGTAAGGTGGAGAAACCAGTTCACCAAAATAAGCAGTCACAGTTTTAGTCTGGAGTTGAGAAAGTGCTGCCCCTTCAACATGTTCGTTTAGTCGGCCAGATTGAAACACTGCACAGTCCATGGTTGTCAGTAACATCATCTCACTTTCATACCCATTCTCTGGCATCGCAGCCAGATACATGGGGGACCAGCCATAATAATAGATTAGGCACATGTGGCCAACAAAAACAAAAACGCAACCGTGCTAACTGCTTAGCAAACACCTCTCAAACAGGTTCGACCCGCACACGCACGCACACACACACAGACTAGCATGCACCGGGTTTGATCAGTGCCACTGCTTGGCAGGCAGCAGCACCCTGACAGCTGACCTGGTCTAGGTTGGTGT